TGAACCAGTATCTGCCACCTACCTGCTTTTTTTAATGGGGACTGCTATTTTTCCCCCCCTTTTAAAAAATCTATTTCCTGGCCTTCACCTCTGAAAAAACTATTTTAGAGTTCCCCTCTACCCATTCCACTTTTTTTCCCCCCAAAACTGAATAAATTTTCCTTTCCCTCACTCATAAAAAATTCTTAAAACCCTCATGCCTTTATACCTTAATGTCAAACAATTTAACTGCCTAATGCAACAACAAGCTATGGTCCTCCAGGTATGGCACCAACACTGAAGAAAATTTAATTTTCTACAAACACTTGTGTTAAAGATTTAGTTCCTGTAATTTAAAAGGAAAAAACTAATATTAGTCAGGGGGGACTAAACCCATAGGGGTTATACAGCACCCAGGAATGCAAGGCATTCACACTATTCAAAGAATTGGAGCACAGGTCATAGTAATACTCTTTTTTGAGAGAATCTCAACTAAAGTAAAACTAAAGGGCAAATGTATTACATACAAAGTGCAGGCATTGTCCCAAGAAGGTTTGGATAGGTAAAAAGTGGTTTTGAGGGCTAGGAGTTTCAGTATCCAGCAAGCTTGTGAGAGCAAGTTAGATCAGAGCAAGTGGAGATGGCTTTATGTACTGTTAGAGTGCAAGCAAGGTAATATTTATGAAGGGATTAAGAAATCAATTAGCTGTCAAATCTAATTTGGGAAGTACAGTGCTTGCACTCTGAAGGAGGTTGTGGGGATAAGGAACTTTTGAGTATAAGAAATTGCAATTGCTGCACACTTCTGGCAAGTATTTTTTAAACTGCCTCTGTGGGAGACTGGTGGTTAAAATGTGTGTACACAGTATGCATTTTGCACTTTAACCCTTTGAGGGTCCGTCCCGTAGTTCTACGCCATGAGCTCAGCTCACTCAAGCTGCGAGTGGTAAATTTGGGCCTAGATATGAGAGATTACATCTGTGGCAAGTGTGCACCACAAAAATCCTGGAGCACACAGTGCATAATGAAAAAAAAGACCGTATTTTGGATTAAAACAGTGACTGTGGTGTTTATTCATACGTTTTTTATAGTTGTATTCAAGGTTTCTTGGTCTCGTTTGATAGAATGGAAGATACATTACAGAAAGAAATAGAGATGATTTTGATTGGTTTTAGTACTGATAATGGCTTGTAACCGAACTCAAAGTAGCGGAAATGTTCAATTTTTGCCGATGTTAAGGAGTAAACAAGTGATGTCACACGTCCAATACATATCAACTGGTGGGTCTGATATGCATTCACGAATGTGCCAATATTATACAAATTTTACAATATTGCATAAGTGAATTATTTTTTGGTGTGAATAAAAAATAAAAATAGAATTCATTTGTAAAGTCTGGAAATTTACTATTAAACAGAGGAAATGTTATTTTAGTGCCAGGAATGCCTGCATTGTTTATTCTGGACCCTATTTTGAAATTGGAATACAGTAGACTGTTATTTAGCACGAGTTTATTTGGCACAATTTGAGTATAGCACGACTGAAGAATTGCGACATTTTTATGTAACATGTTGTATGATCAACGTTACACGATTCGCGGAGGGGAAAAAATTTTGAGCACACAGTCGCCCAGGGTGGGTTATATCAGTTAATGGGGGAGGCCTACTGCCATCTCTGCCATCTCCTCCACCACCCACACCCACCCCCACCACGCTCCCAGCCTCCAGTTTGGTTCATACACGTGCAGGACGGAGGTACTCGGGAACCTAGCTGTGTTTATATACATAAATATTTTCTTAATTTCATTGCCATTTGTTAAATCTGCCAAGCAATAACGGCCCCCAGTAAACATACAAGTGTTGCTGAAAATGACAAGAAAAGGTTTAAGCATTCAAGTCTAGGAATTTCAAAGAAAATCGAGATATTAGACAAGCTTGAGAGTGGATCACGTGTGGTGGATACAGTGAGGGCCTATGGCCTTAATGAAGAGTCAGTTCGTACAATTAAAAAGAGCGAGGTGAATATGCGAGCTTGTGTAATGAATAACCCAAGATGTCATCTCATGAAAATGACACTTAGGTCCCAACAAGTAAATAAAACAGAAAACTTGAGTGATTGAACAAAAGACAAAGAAAGGTGCAACACAATTTCCTCTTACTTAAGAAAAAGGCCTTAGTTATTTAAAGCAGTGTGTGATAAGGAAGGGCTGAAAAAGTGTGCGCGCGTTTAGCACAGGCTGGTTCCACAACTAACTTGCATAATAAGTTATGCAACTTATTATGCAATAAGTTGCATAATAAGTAATATTAAGTTTACTGGTGAAAGTGCTTCAGCTGATCATACAGCAGCAAGTAAATTTTTGTGAATTGCAGGAAATTATTTCTGAGGTGGCTATGAGCCACTATTTGATTTAATGCTGAAGTCGTTTTTTTGGGGGGAAAAATTGGCACAACTTATATCAGACACAAGAGATGAGTCCACTTTAAGGAGCAAAGGACCGCTTCAATGCTCCTTGCGTAATGCATCAGGCGATTTCCGAGGGTAACATGGTTATTACTGCTCAGAACCCGTGTGGTTTAAAGCGAGTTAATGAGGAGCCTTACCATAATTTCGCATCAACCCCAGCCATAACCACGTATAAACTACCCAGCTCCAGTTGGTAACACATGCAACAGGAGGTCTCGGGAACCTCGTGTTTATACCTACAAGTAGTCTTCTATTCATTGCCATTAAAGTTGATAGAAGCAAAGATACTCGAGAAACATACATGTATGCAAGTCAATACTTAAAGGTTTGAAGGTGGTCAGTCCCATTCATTGGAAAAGAGACATTGTTCCTTGACTAAAAATCATGTGGGGGAATACAGTGAGGGTATGGCCTTAATAAATATTTGCGTAAGTTAAACGAGGTGATATGGAGGGCAGGTCCTCATCAAACCCAGCCGTTCCACTATAGAAAGAATATGGTCCTGAACCAAGATAACACATGTGTGCAGTGTTGACAGAATGACAAAAAATGGTGCAACAAAATCGACAGTTCTTAAGAAAAGGCCTATATGTAAACAGTGTGGTATCTGATGTCGAAAAAGTTGCCTACACATTAGCACTTCTTGTCACCTACAGAAAAGTCGATAAAAGTAGCATATTGAAGATAGTAATCAGTCATAATTCGAGCTCTACTTGGAAAGGCTTCAGTGTATGACAGGGGCATACTTTCAACTCCTATGTTGCAGGAATTATTCTAGTATAAAGGTCCACCCTTTCACGTGTTTAATGCTGAATTGTTTTGTCAGGGGGAAACAAATGCTCTCCAAACTTGATGACTGTCACAAAAATTAGGTGATGGACTTAACAATGGCCTCAATTCTCCTTTCTGTAATGATTCGTACTCAAGTGTAAGCCCTGTTATAGCCAAAACCCTTGTGCATAAAGCTAATAAAATACCTTCCATATGTCTTACTAACAGGTCAAACCAGTCAGCATGGATGACAGGAAATATTTAATGACTGGTTTAAGCATCACTATTCCTGAAGTTAAGTTACTGTCGCAAGAACCTGCATTCAGCAATCTTGATTAAGCTCTACTTTTGATAATAGTCTTGCATGACCCACATGTAAAGGTTGTATTTGACCTTCAAATTTTTTTTAAATTTACAAACACTTGAACACTGGGGATCGGGGAGTTATTTAGTCACTCAAGTGTAACTACACAAAAAAGTTATGAAGAAACTAGTTGCATCAATGGACTGATTCCAACCTGGCAGTACAACCTTCTGGAATAAATTTAACACAGAAGATGCTATCAGCTATGCTAGAAGTGCATGGAATGAAGTGCCTCAACATTAAATGCAGACTGGGAAAAAGTAATGGCCTTCTGTGGTTAATTCTTTCACTGGTTTCCCCTTGCTTAAGTCAGGTTCAGGAAATTGTTCAGCTGGCAAGGAGATTACCAGGTGATGGTTTTGAAGATATGAATGAAGATGTGAATGAGCTCTTAGAAAATAATAATGAAGACAGGAGTACAGAGGAAATGTTAGTAGAGCTCGATGCACAGATACAAGGGAGAGACATAATAGAAGATGAAGAACATGAAGAAAAACGGTTAACATTTCAACAGTTACGTGAGCAGTTTCATACTATTGGTAAAGTTGCAGACTTTCACTGAAGAGGACCCAGACAAATCTAGCAGTTCTTTGAAACGGGGTCTAGACCAGCTGATGATGCCTTACCATCAGCTGTATAATGTATTGCAGGGTAAAACAGCCCAGAGAACCATTACAGAATTTATACACATTCCAATACAACCATCGACTTTAGTACCAGAACCTCTACCATCTACTTCTGTCGACAACCAACAACCATCCACCTCAGCCCAGTAGGGCCAAACCATCCATATCCACTCTCCCCAAACATCCACACACACCATTACCCACAATTTAAGGTAAGAAATACTATTTCTATTGCATTTGTAGTCTTAAGCAGTAATATATCATGACAATGAACTACAATTCATGTTCGCTTTTATTTTTGTAAGATCTGTTCGTCTAAAATAAAGTTGTTTGGCTTTTTGGGGGCTCCCAGGAATGTAACACTTTTTCCCCACAGGTTCTTCAGTTCAATTAGCACAATTTTACCTAACACGGTATTTTCAGGAACCTAACTACCGTGCTAAATAAGGGTCTACTGCATTTTGAACTGGAAATTGAACAATTACCAATATCCGATTATTTATTGGGTAGTTTAAACAGTTGACTGGGTGATTTCTTGTGCTCGCTGGATAAAATAAATATAATACTAGCAAATTAGCTAAGAATTTCATCACATGAATAATGTAATTGGCCTAAAATGGGAGTCAGTCTTGAAAATCACAGATGCATAAATATCGCTGGTGCAGCAAAATTCACGGGAATGTAATTTCGTCAATTTTGTACTTCATTACTTTCTCTACCATTACACATAAAATGATTTTTTTTTTTTTAAATTCTTGGACTGGGTGGACAAGTTTCAGGATGGAGGTCTGGACCCTGAAAGGGTTAAAAAATCACGTACTGAATGTATAAAATGAAAATTAACTTGCATATTAAACCTAATAAAAATGACGTACTCACAAGCAATTCTGTCTCCTCCTTTATAGCAAATAAAGTCAATTCCAGCATCTATGGCCTTTCTAGAGATGTTCAGATCGCGCTGCTCCTGTTCATTCGTGCACCTTTCAAGTTTAGTAAAAAAGTCCTCAACACATGCCATGAAACGATCACGACGGCTGAAATCACAATATTAAAAATTAGATTGGTTGACATTTACTATACTCCTGTAATCTAACGAGACTGAAGTAGGGGCCAAACAAATATCTGAAATTCATAAAACCATTAATATTGTACTATGCATGCCTAAAATTTCTATCATTTACAGAATTTATTTTAGCTGAACCAATCTTTCCAGACTGTGCTTATCACTAGTATTTTTAGACAGCAACATTAAGAACGAATAACTTAACTTCCATGTTTCTGATTTAACTGTCTGGTCAGTCACTAAACATCTTAAGTGTGAAAATAGTTAATGTATGCCTACTGGGCAGAGTTGTATCAGTTGACTTCACACTGTACATTCAAGAAAGTAAAAATAAAAGCCACATTTCTTTACCAAAATGTACCAAACATAGAAACACCATAGCTATAACAAAAAAATAGCTGAAAGCAAAAGAAAACAAAGATGAATAAAGCATCAGCTGCCTTGTTGGTGCTCATAGGGCCTGATCCAAGAGCTGTGGAGAGATCTGGTGACTGGTTTTGTATTTTGGTATTTATTTCCAATATATCAGAAGGCCAGCTTATTTTATGCTATCTATGCATGGAAGACCAATAATGCATTTAATTCTGTCCATTTTTGGACCAGTCAACTCCCCCCCCCCCCCCAAAAAAAAAAAAATTGAAGAAATTATGGTAGGTTGCAGAGGAAGATGTGGTAATGGTGGTCTCAGAATTAGGTACAACAGTACAGTATTAGCTAAAAAATATTGCACAGCAATCATAGTACATCAGTATAATTATAAAGGTAACATTAGGGTGTGTAGAAGAGAGGGAGACTACTTCCTGGTAAAAGTAGGTCTTAGACAGGGATGTGTAATGTCACCACGGTTGTTTAATATATTTATAGATGGGGTTCCAAAAGAAGTAAATGCTAGGGTGTTCGGGAGAGGGGTGGGATTAAATTATGGGGAATTAAATACAAAACGGGAAGTGACACAGTTACTTTTTGCTGACGATACTGTGCTTATGGGAGATTCTAAAGAAAAACTGCAAAGGTTAGTGGATGAATTTGGGTGTGTGTGTAAAAGTAGAAAGTGAACATAGAAAAGAGTAAGGTGATGAGGGTATCAAATGATTTAGATAAAGAAAAATTGGATATCAAATTGGGGAGGAGTATGGAAGAAGTGAATGTTTTCAGATATTTGGGATTTGATGTGTCAGCGGATGGATTTATGAAGAATGAGGTTAATCATAGAATTGATGAAAGAAAAAAGGCGAGTGGTGCATTGAGGTATATGTGGAGGCAAAAAATGTTATCTATGGAGGCAAAGAAGGGAATGTATGAAAGAATGTATGGTAGTACCAACACTTATATGGGTGTGAAGCTTGGGTTGTAAATGCTGCACTGAGGAGGCAGTTGGAGGCAGTGGATATATCCTGTCTAAGGGCAATGTGTGGTGTAAATATTATGCAGAAAATTCGGAGTGTGGAAATTAGGAGAAGGTGTGGAGTTAATAAAAGTATTAGAGGGCTGAAGAAGGGTTGTTGAGGTGATTTGGTCATTTAGAGAGAATGGATCAAAGTAGAATGACATGGAGAGCGTATAAATCTGTAGGGGAAGGAAGGCAGGGTAGGGGTCGTCCTCAAAAAGGTTGGAGGGAGGGGGTAAAAGAGGTTGTGGGCGAGGGGTTTGGACTTCCAGCAAACGTGCGTGAGCGTGTTAGGAGTGAATGGAGACGAATGGTATTTGGGACCTGACGAGCTGTTGGAGTGTAAGCAGGTTAATATTTAGTGAAGGGATTCAGGGAAACCTGTTATTTTATATAACCGGACTTGAGTCCTGGAAATGGGAAGTACAATGCCTGCACTCTAAAGGAAGGGTTTGGGATATTGGCAGTTTGGAGGGATTTACAGTGGACCCCCGGTTAACGATATTTTTTCATTCCAGAAGCATGTTCAGGTGCCAGTACTGGCCGAATTTGTTCCCATAAGGAATATTGTGAAGTAGGTTAGTCCATTTCAGACCCCCAAACATACACGTACAAACTCACTTACATAAATACACTTACATAATTGGTCGCATTGGGAGGTGATCGTTAAGCGGGGGTCCACTGTATTGTGTATTTTTATACGTATATACTTCTAAACTGTTGTATTCTGGGCACCTCTGCAAAAACAGTGATTGTTTGAGTGAGGTGAAAGTGTTCAATGATGAAAGTATTTTCTTTTTGGGATTTTTTTTCTTGGGTCACCTTGCCTCAGTGGGAGACGGCAGACTTGGAGAAAAAAAAACAGTAGGGGTCCTAGTAATGATGAGGTAGTGAGAGCTAATAGTAGTTAGTAAAAATATATCAAAGATTACAGCAGAACAGATACTGCAGGACAAACATGATATTAAGGGTCCTCTGTTAAATGCAGGTTTTTGATGAAGTGTACCAGCCACTGTATAGCGACTTTCCTAGATTTTAACTACACACTTTGGCTGAAACCAGGGGTCAACGAGGAAATAAGACTAACCTACACAAATAACCTGCACATAGAAGAGAGGAGCTTACGAACGTTTCGGTCCTACTTGGACCATTTATGAAGTCACTAACGAAAAAGAGAGCAAGGTGGGTATATATAGGCAGAGGTGGTGGTAGAAGTGGTAGTAGTGGAGGTGGAAGGAAGTAGTAGTGGGGAGGTAGTAAGAGGAGCTAGTCAAATACTAAGAGAGAGGAGCACTGCAAGGGAGCTAGGTGCCCACAGAGGGTAAGAGCAAGAACACCAAGGGAGGGGAATAAATAAATAAAGAACAAATACACAGGGCAGAAGAAAGACTGAAACGTCATTGTAAGATCTTCTACGTGCGGGTTATTTGTGTATCGTTCCCGTTACGGTATTATGCCTTTTTTTTTTTTTTTTTTTTTTTTTTTTTGGTTAAGACTAACCTGCTACAACCATGCTGACACACAGGAAGGGCAGAATCATCTCATTTTATTAGTCAAACATTATCTTGCCTAACAAGAATGGGTGTCATGGGTACACCTCAGGGAAAGCACACAGTAAATCCACTAAAACTTCCTGGTTCAGTCACCAACATTCACCAATTTTAGAAATACAGAGAGTAGATATAGTATATCAATGTTAAATGTGCAAATGTGATTTAGGACATGTCACTAACTTTCGGGAATTAATACCCTTCAAGGGAGGAACTGAAAGGCTGATGAAGGCTCTATACAAAGAATTGGAGTTACCCACCCTCTCCTTTGTTTGAATCTACCTCCCACTACCAAAGACTTGTCCTCTACAGGTTTAGCCCATCTCCCCCATGAAACAATTCAGGGTTAATATGAATAAAGACTATGCATTGAATACAGGTCAGTCATCAGTGATCCAGCAATCACTAATCCAGTTCCATCACTAATCTAGCACTAATTTTGACTAGTATCATTGGTAAAAAGTTTCCATCCCACAGCTTTCAAAGGTGTGACAGTTTACCATGCCAGGTCCAGCACCCTACAAGTCCCAATTATGCAGGATTAGTGATGGTTGACCTGTATCATCAAGCTTTACAGTTTTACATGATTAGGCACAAGTTGCATAATTTTTGTAGAAGTTAAAACAAGAATAATGCTGGACAATGGGCATTACTTGCTCAATAAAAATTGTGGGAGGATGGAGGTCCACCACTCTTGACAGGGTGACCAGACTGAGAAAATCTTAGTCTTACCAAAATTTCCATACTTAATTTTTAAATTAGTGTAATAGCAACCTATTATGTGCTATGACCTCTTACACTATTAGTTCTAAGAATCTCTCCATTTGATGTCCACCATCAGTCTACCAAAATCTAGTGAACGTACCAGAGGTTTATATGCTATCATCTTTGACATGGCCGAGAGCTCAAGCAAACTTACGACCACAGGCACCCCAAGAACAAAGACCCACAAACACAAGATGAATGTTTTATAGTCTAATCAAAAACCTGCTAGGTATGGCTAAATTTATGCCTTTGGGGGCCAGTCTACATAAAATTTGAGCAAGCCAATAACAATACTGGCCAGGATATGAAGAGAGATTTAGGGAAGTTATTAAATATGATTAAAGCTTTTCTTTTTCAGGCCACCCTGCCTTGGCGAGAAATGGTTGATGTGCAATATAAAAAAATATTAAAACACAAAATGAGTATCTTTTAGTACCAATACAGAGATACTTATGCAATTGCTTCTCTACTCTACAAATGAAGAATGAACCTCAGGGACAAAAAAGGGTAATTGCAAAGGTTAGTGGATGAGTTTGGGAATGTGTGTAAAGGTAGGGGAAAGTTGTGGAAAGGAACATAGAAAAGAGTAAGGTGATGAGGGTGTTCAAATGATGTAGATAAAAGAAAAATTGGATATCAAATTGGGCGAGGAGGAGTATGGGAAGAAGTGAATGTTTTCAGATACTTGGGAGTTGACGTGTCGGCGGATGGATTTATGAAGGGATGAGGTTTTAATCATAGAATTGATGAGGGAAAAAAAGGTGGAGTGATGCGTTGAGGTATATGTGGAGGTCAAAAAACGTTCATCTATGGAGGCAAAGAAGGAAATGGTATGTAGTATAGTAGTACCAACACTCTTATTTGGGTTGTGAAGCTTGAGGTGGTAAATGCAGCCGCGAGGAGACGGTTGGACGGCAGGCGGGGAGATGTCCTGTTTAAGGGCAAGTGTGGTGTAAAAATATTATGAAGAAAATTCGGAGTGTGGAAATTAGGAGAAGGT